TTTCCCCAGTGTTGATATTTTCGGGGCTCGCCCGCGCGAGACCTTCCGCTTCGGAGAAGTTTGCATCGATTTTTTACATGGAGTTTATAGCAACTTTTTCGCCTGGTGCCTAAACTTTGATTTTTTGGGGATCTAAACTTGTCGATGTGCGCCCGTGCGCGGCGGGCCCCAGGCGCCGTCCGGGGCTCATTGCCAGTGCCGCCAAGGGCCGACGCGCTCCTTGGTTTTTGCCCTGGCACGAGCGCGTGAATGTCCACATTGACGTTGGGCGTTGACCGCGTGTCAGCATAAGGCGACGCCAAGGTCAAACGCCGATGAGCATAGCAGCAGCGCGCCGCGCGCATGGGATTGCAAGGCGTGGTCGTTGGCTGACCATCGAGCAGTTTCCGCTTGCAGTTCTCACGTCGTCTGACGGTCGAATCGGTCTGATGTTCTTCATGTGGGGTGCGGGTAAGCCCCTGCAGCGGTTCATGTCCATTGAACTGCCTCGTTGGAAGACAACCGCTTGAAGACCTTGAAACGTGCCAGAACATTGTTCTCGGGACTTCCACGCGACGTATCGAGCTGACTGGTGCGTCATGACGATTTGGAATCGTGCCCGAACGCCTTTCTTGGGATTTCGACACCGCGAATCAACATAACTGTTGCGCCCGCATAATCCTTGAACCCTCTCAAAACACAATTTCTGTTATGTTGATCGTGGGAAGCCAGCCTTTGCAATTTATTACAACGAATGTGCGCGGCGCTCAAGCGAGAACCACATTTTGAAAAAGGAGCCGCCCTCAACCCGTAAAGCTCTTGCAAATATGTGCAAACATTATGCGCGGCGCCAAGACGAGAGCCACGCTTTGACAGCCACCCGCCCTTAATCCGTGAATCTCTTGCAATTTTTAAGAACGAATGTACGCGTCGTTGGGGCGAGAACCACATTTTGAAAACCACCCGCCCTCAACCCGTGACGTTCGTGCTGGTTTCTCCAAGAATGTGCGCGGCGCCAAGACGAGGGCCACATTTTGAAAACCACCCGCCTCAACCCGTGAAAGCCTTGCAATTTTTGTAAACAGTGTGCGCGGCGTTCAGACGAGAACCACATTTTGAAAACCACCCGACTTGAGTCCGTGAAACTCTTGCACATTTTTAGAACGAGTGTGCGCGGCGCTAAGACGAGAGCCACATTTTGAAAACCACCCTCAACCCGTGAAATTCTTGCACATTTTAAGCCGAATGTGCGCGGCGTTCGGGCGAGAGCAACATTTTGAAAACGATCCGCCTTCTATCTGTGAAACTGTTGTCACCTTTAAACTTCGGAGTCATACATGGTGAAGGGGTCTCAACAGAAGCGCTGGCCCGCCCTAGAAACTTGCTTCGGGTGGCGACGGATACGTTTTCATACCGAAGAGGAATGGATGATGGTGATGCTGATGATGATGCTGATGGTGATAATGCTGATGATGAGGGTGAGGGGGAGGAAGAGGAGGAGGAGGAGGAGGAGGAGGAGGAGGAGGAGGAGGGGAGGAGGAGGAGGGGGAGGGGGACGAGGAAGAGGAGGACGAGGAGGAGGAGGACGGAGGAGGAGGATGATGATGATGATGATGAGGAGGAAGACGGAGGAGGAGGAGGAACAGGAGGAGGAGGATGAACAAAAGTAATAATAATCACAATAACAATACTAACACCAAAAATCGTAATAGCAATAAAATCAGTAACATTAATAATAACATGAAAACTATTACGACGAAGACGAAGCAGACGAATGATAATATTAAAACGGAAAAGATGCAGACTATGAAGAATAATGAAGAATGCGAAGCATGCTAAGAATAATACAACGAAGTGTAATAATGCTCAAATTAACAACAAACAGAGGAACCCATGACTACCATCCAGAAGAAAATTCAACATGATAAGAACCAATACGCATATTAAGAATAGTAGGAATACGAATGTTAACACTAACAAGACTATTATGATTACGAATATCAATAATACTATTACTAATTTAACGAATGCTACTAATACTAATGATACAAATACTAGTAATATTTCTAATTTTAATACTAATAGTACTACTAACAATACTAATAATACTATTACTAATACGGATCATAATACTAGTAATAATGGTACTACTAGTAGTATTAATAATAGTGTTACTCGTAATATTACTACTAATAATAATAGTAATACTAATAGCAGTAACACGGATACTAATCATACCACTAATACTCAGCCTCTTAATACTGTATATACTATTACTAATTGAATAGTAGTAAGACTCATAAGAGCACTAACGATAAGAATAACTGAGGGCTACAGCTAGCAATGACATGAACAGTGCTAGTTAGAATGATACGAATGATTCTAATACAGAGCAGCTTTAACACTACGGATAATGCTGGTATGTGTAAGGCTACTACTAAGATTAATACGCATACTAAGGCGATGAGACGGAGGAGGAGGAGGAGGAGGAGGAGGAGGAGGAGGATGAGGAGGGGGAGGA